TTTTTGCCAGTGCCTTCAGTGCAGCTTGGACCTCTGCCTTCAGTACCATTGGTTCTTGATCATATGCTACCTCCTGAAATGGCTGAAAGTTGGCCAGATCCTTTTGGTACAGTGATTCTGTGTATTCCTTCCTTCTTCTTTTGATGCATCCCCGTAGAATCCTTCAATAGTGCAAATCAAGGCTGGATTATTTTTTCAATTCTTTCAGCTTGAGAGTCAGAATTGACTCGTTGGCAGTGGGTTTGGGTTCAGCTTGAGAAATGCTGAGCATGTTCTTCCCTTTTGGTTTTCTATCTCCAGGTCTTTGCACATTTCATTATAATACTTTGTCTTCTCAAGTCACCCTTTGAAATCTTCTGTTTAGCTCTTTTACTTCATCATTTCTTCTTTTCACTTTAGTTAGTCTATGTTCAAGAGCAACTTTCAGAGTCTCTTCTGACATCCATTTTTGTCTTTTTCTTTCTTTCCTGTATTTAATGATGTCTTGCTTTCTTCATGTATGATGTCCTTGATGTAGTTCCACAACTCATCTTATCTTTGGTCCTTAGTGTTCAATGCATCAAATCTATTCTTGAGATGGTCTCTATGTTCAGGTGGGATATACTCAAGGTTGTACTTTGGCTCTCCTGGACTTGTTCTAATTTTCTTCAACTTCAACTTGAACTTGCATATGAGCAATTGATGGTCTGTTCCACAGTTTGGCCTCTGGCCTTGTTCTGATGATATTGAGCTTTTCCATAGTCTTTCCACAGATGTGGTCGATTTGATTCCTGTGTATTCCATCTGGTGAGGTCCACGCGTATAGTCATCACTTATGTTGTTGTTGATAAGGAGTAGAATTGGATGAAGATAAGCAGTAGGAATTGGATACATGGTCTTAGACCTCTGAAAAGACACCTGGACTAGAAATGTATGCAGAGCGAACCATCACATCAAAGACTTAAACAGCAGAATGACCTACTGGTAAATTCACATGTGTGTTTTCCTCTGACAAGAAATCCCCTTGTGTAAGACAGTACACAATACTAGGGAAGCCAGCACAACTTGTACAAGCCATGGTCATGGAAGCTCCATAGACACATCTAAACTGCCTGAGGGACTGAATTGCTGGGTGGAGGGCTGTGGGGACCATGGTCTCAGGGAATATCTAGCTCAATTCGCATAACACACTTTATAAAGAAAATGTTCTACATTCTACCTTGGTGAGTAGCATCTGGGGTCTTAAAAGTCTGTGAGCAGCCATCTAAGATACTCCACTGATGTCACCCCTTCGGGAGCAAGGGAGAATGAAGAAAACAATACACAAGGGAAAGATTAGTGCAAAGGACTAATGGACCACAACTACCGTGGCCTCCACCAGACTGAGTCCAGTACAAGTAGATGGTGCCTGGCTACCACCACTGACTACTCTGACAGGGATCACAACAGAGGATCCTGGACAGAGCTGGAGAAAAATGTAGAACAAATTCTAACTCACAAAAAAAGACTAGAGTTACTGGCCTGACAGAGACTGGAGAAACCCCGAGAGTATGGCCCCCGGACATACTTTTAGCTCAGTAATGAAGTCACTCCCGAGGTTCACCCTTCAGCCAAAGATTAGATAGCCCCATAAAACAAAATGGGACTAATGGGGCACAACAGCCCAGGGACAAGGACTAGAAGGCAGGAGGGGACAGGAAAGCTGGTAATAGGGAACCTAAGTTTGAGAAGTGACAGTGTTGACATGTCATGGGGTTGTTAACCATTGTCGTCAAACAATATCTGTACTGTTTAATGAGAAACTATTTTTTCTGTAAACCTTCATCTAAAGTACAATTAAAAAAAGACATCCCCTTGTCAGTCCTTTGAGAGGATGAAAAGGGAGTGGAATCACTCATTAGGAAAGAATAGAAGGCATCATCTTTCCTAGGAAAGGTAAGTAGGCTCTTTTATGATTTCCAGGGTCTAGAGCTTTCTTAATGAACCACTGAGAACATTCTGACGGATCATTTAGCTCTTTTTTGGGAGAAAAGTAACAGAGTGAACTGTTTTGAGTTTGGGAGAGGAATATGGGGCTGCGAAGTCCCTGGGGCAACATGGACGTCTGTTGGCTTGGACTGCCCAGTGTCATTCCCCCTTTTTCTGGCAATAGCATGTTGACTTTCTTTTGGTGAACCACCCTATGTCCCCTCTTAGTCCACATGTTTTTGGTGGGGCTGCCGCTGCCTCCCTCCTGGCTCTGGAGATGAACATGTAACCTCGACCTCACAAAGTGCTTATCCATTCCCCTGGACACAGTGCTTGATTTAGGAATAACAGGTGGTGCAGGTGGCTCAGAGAGACTCAATCCACGATTTATGATAGAACTACTGGGAAACAGAAATCTGATGACCAGCTTGCCACCCAAGGGGAGAGCCTGAGAGTGAACGCAGACTATGGGAGCAGAAGTCCTGACAACTGTTTGAGCACCTGGATCTAGCCTCTCCTTCAGCATAGCCCTAGATATTTTGGTTATGTGAGACAGTAAATTCTCATTTGTCTTAAGCCAGTTTGAGTTTCTGACATCTGCAACAAAAAGAGTTGTGACTAATACTGACCCTGGGAGAAAATTCAAAGGAATGGGAAAGGAGATGAAAAGGGGATCTAGGTCTGGGTTATTGAGTCCCATCTCATTTCTGGTTCTAGAACCCATTTGTGTCCTGGGAGTGCCTGGGACAGCATAGTTGGGAAAGAACTTGAGTAAGGTGTGTCATTTGAGTGTGCAGGCACAGTGGCTGGTCTGCAGGATCTGCTACCATACTGTAATCAGGGACTGCTCCCTGCTGTGTAAGCCTATTCGTTGAGACACCCCTTCTGACCTCGGCTTGAGGACTCCTGCCAGCAACACACCCCCAAAACTCATAAGCTCCAGGGACCCCTGGAAACTTAGCAGGTAGCATAGTTCCTCAATCATCCTTTCTTTGGGTGGGGGGTGGTTGGGCATATCAGTACACCCCAACCTGGGGACAGCAGAGAGTGACAACCTCCATTACATGAATTTAAGAGTTAGTTGCTATCAGTAGACACTGAAGTCATGTGAGTGGATGAAATCACTCAAGAATATGTGGCTTATGAAGAGAAGAGGGTAAGGACAGAACCCTGGAGCCCACCAACATTTAAGGGATAGATAGAGAAAGAATGGTTAGAAAGATATAAAACCATTCAGCAGCGTGTGGCTTACGAGAAGCCAAGAAGTAAACAAATGTTCAACAGTGTCATCAGTTAAGTATCACAAGGATTGAAAGGGATCCATGACTCAGAAATTGCATGTTGCAAAGGAGCAACATTGCATGTTCCCTCCAGGAGATACATAAGAGTTTGAATGGTGCTGAGGGGGAAGAGTAAAGTTTGCATGAGGAACCCAAGGGCCTCATGGGAGAGAAGGGACTGAGATACACCCTCCCAATCCCCTTCCTCCCTAGTAATCTGCTAAGGTGGATAAAGTGACCTTAACAAAAGCCTTCCCTAGAGGCAGGAAAGGTCAGCAAGTTCCCTGAAATAATATCACCATGAGCATAAGAAAAGTAGACCATGGAATGGCCTGTGACAGAGCCAGTAGTGGTTGAGGGGGGATGGTGGTTCTGGGTTGTTGAGGAGGCAGACACTGGAAATTTTTCAACCCAGCCCTACTTGGGGAAGAGCTGTATGTAACTTGTGTTCTCTCACTCCTGGCCAGTTTTGGTGTGGAACACCCCTGGCCAAGCCTCAACTGAAAGAATCGAGGTGGCCTTAGGCAGCACCAGGACCAAAAGGCTTACCCTACCACCCCTAATCAGTGTCTCTGGGCATCTGAGTTAGGATTTACAAATGCTGAGGCAGGAGCAAGCAGGACTTGCCCGTCAGATAATCAGAGGTGATTTAGAAAATAATATTTGGAATCATTATTCCCTGATTGTGAGCATGGAGAAATGTGACCCAGCTGGGGCTGGGCCCTCACAGACTCACAAAGACACATCAGCTGGGCCCTGAGATAAACAATAGATGGGACAATCTCAGAAATTATCTTAAGGAAGTTTTCACCTTTTGTCTTTTTCTATTAACATTTAGTGAATAGAAATTTGCTGGACCAATGAAGACCCTCCTGACTTTCCTAACTGAAACCTGTGCCAAAGATTGTTAAGAAAGATGATTCAAAATGTAAGGTTACAATTTCTAGCCAATCAGTGAAAAGGTGACGCTTTCAATGATTCTACCCATTTTGTGATGTTGATATATACTGATGATTCTATAACCTTCCTCAGATTCAGACAGACATTCTAGCTCTGGAAGCGTGCTTGTCCGCTTCCCACTTTTGTCCTTTTGAATATATGCCGAATAAAACTTTCTTTTTGCTTTACTAAACTTTGTGATGTTTTTCACCTATAACAGTGGGCACCAGGGGCTTCCAGGACATATAAGGAAAAGGCACCAGGAGGGAGAGATCAGATTCCTACAAATCTCAGCATGTGGCTGACTGGGCACTGCACTTGGGTACCTCTGCACACTTTCTGCACCCCAAAACAAAGTCATGATGCTGGGAACAGGGAGTCATGGATGCCATTGACCAGAGTCATTTCAATGAAGAAATGGGGTGAAAACCATCCTAATGGGTAAGGATTCAGTGAGGAAGTTGAGACAGCAAATGTAGGAAATCTTTTAATGGAGACAAATCCTTGCCTGTGGAAGGAGGAGAGAAAAGGGGCTTGAGTTAGAAGAACATGTAGAATGAAAAACTCTGAGAAAACTTATTTCCTGAAGGAAAACAGGTTGTAGGGAGAGGTTGAAGATAAGAGGAAAAGAATCAAGGCCCCTAAAGAAGCGCAAGGGGAGGAGATTCAGAGCACACCCTTAGAGGAGGGGGCTCTTTCCTCCTGTGAGACAGGAAGGAGCGAGCCAAGGAACAGAACTCAGAAAGTGCCATGCCATCACGAAGCAGGCTTTCATGACCTAATAAAGCTTGCCCAGAGTTCCAGAAACCCTGAATCAGTCCTGACCAGGTCTCCTAGCAACCAGATGGTGGGGCCATGGCACTCTTAACACCCCAGGGAATGAAAGAAGTCTTCCAACTTCAGGTGAAGAGAAAAAGTAGCTTCTAAAAGAAAGTTAGTTCAGACTGGTCTAATAGTGATACGTGTGTGTGTGTGTGTGTGTGTGTGTGTCTATGTGTGTGATAGAAGTGGCTCCGTTTGACAGTGCCTATTTAGAGGATACCTTGGACACCCACCCAGTTCTCAACCCTCATAGCATGTGTTTGCCAGCTAGGACTGGAGGCCCATGGCTCACCAGCCCCGACAGCTTATAGTTATAACCTGTCTACAGTGACAGCCCCTAAGGTGGCAGAGTCTGCCTTCATGGAAGGAGCAGCCCTTACAAGAGGCATTCTGCCTGCCTCCACATGAGGAAGGGCCAGAGAGAACCTCTGGGGTAAATTTATAATCTTTCTAGAGACAAGATTTTCACCAGGGAGCCTCCAGGCCCCTTGAATCCTTCGGAATTGTATGCTAATATGTGTGTAGTGTGTGTGTGTGTGTGTGTGTTGGTGGAGGAGGAGAGCTTTTGTTGCTTTGGGGTAGGGTTGTTGTTAGTTGTTAGTTGTGGTCAAGGCATGGCAATCCCAAGTACAACAGAGAGAAATGTTACCCAATCCCAAGCCATCCTCAAGACTCCTGGTATGCTCCTGTCCATTTTTGCAGCTACAGTGTATTTTGAGTGCCTTTCAACCTAGGTGGCTCATCTTACACTACTATATCAGACAGTGTTCTGTTGTGATCCATAGTGTTTTTATTGGCAAATTTTCAGAAATATATAGGCCTTTCATCCTACTGTCTTAGTTTGCAAGGCTTGCTGCAACTTGTCCACCATGGGTGACCCTACTGGTATTTGAAATACTGGTGGCATAGCTTCCAGAATCATAGCAACATGCAAGCCATGACAAGGGTGGAGAGGGGGGCAAATTTCATTAGTTTCTCAGAACCAATTCTCAACTCAAAAGGGGTGAGCAAGGAGGGGCATGTGGAGTCATGGAGGCCAGGATGACACAAGAGGCTCTAAACCGTGGGGCCAATACGGCCTCTCTGCAAGCTCCTTCCAAAGACAGGTCTGTCCAAGAAGGGTTTCAGGGTACTGCCACGAAGTTTAGGTAAGAAGACCATGTGTGAACTGTGTGTACAGTTGGGCATCTGATATACAGCCACATGCTGCCCCCTTGGCTAGGGCCTTCCTCCCCATCCTGGAACACATATGTGCTTTCACAAATCTTCTCTAGACCTTGTAATCAGCTGTCCTATCCACTCCAACCTGAGGCCCCAAGTGGGGATCTGTGAGGGCAGGAGGAAAGGGCTACCTGAGTCAGGCACAAGAGTGGTGGTGGTGGAAGAAGTATCCCTGGGGGCTGAGGACAGGACCCTGGACCTCCTCTATCACCAAGTCTGCATCAGTCCCCCTAAGGGTTCTCTGAGCCAGAGCCTCCCTGCTGTAAGGAGAACAACACTCTTGTGTATGGTGAGTCTCGGCTTCACATCATACCCTTTATTACCTCTCCTTTAAGTGACACTTGATTCTGCTATATCTGTTGGTGACCTATAAGAACACTTCTGGAAGGACCAGTCAAACCCTCAGGTAAAATAAGTTCTTACCTACAGATAGGATAAAAGATATCCCAATCAGTGTTTTCCTCCTGGCCTGCCAGAGTGCCTGAATTTTCACCAAGCAAAATACATTTCTTCTGCCAAAGTATTGCCTCATCAAGCCTCTTCTCAGTCAGTCGTTTACACTTCAGCATGAATTTCATTATTAGATCACTGCTTTCTGGGGCAGCTAGCTGAGAGTAGGCTCTGAGGGAAACTAAATTGCATTGGGGAAGAGGGAAGAGGGATCATAATTTAGAATTTGAGGCCTAAAGTATACAAACCTGGGGCTGCAGTGCTTAGTATGAAAACTGTCAGTAGAAGAGGCAGTGCTAGAAAGAAGAGCATGTTGTCCCCAGAAAGGGGAGGGAAAATTGTCCAGAAACCAAAGCATAATTCTGCCCAGGTGTATCCACATTTCTGTTCACACTTCAGGGCTCTGGGAAGCTGTTGTGGAGCCCCCAACAGTGTTTTGCCCAGTAAGAATGGCATCTTGACTCCTAAATCCCACCACCTCCTTATCTCATGCCCTGCAGAAACCAGAAGGTCGCAAACACCTGTGGGCACTGCTGAACTGGGAAGAGTTTGACGAAGTGAGAGACTTCCGCAGAAGCATCCTGCTGGACACCCTCTATGAAAGCATTCTCTTTGCAGTGGGCAAAGGCTTTCCATGGGTCAAGGTGGCCCAGGTGGCCAAGTTCACAGAGGAGCTGCTCCAGGAAGCCAAAGGTAAGGAGTGTCCAGGCAAGAGTCAGCGAGGCTGGGAGGGAGCACAGGACTTGCTTGCAGTCCACAACCCCAGGAGGCCTCTGAGCAGCTGGGGCCCTTCCTTTTCCTGACATTTAGTCTCCTTATATGCTTATAAACCGCTTCCCTGCCAAGGCTTCCTGGAGAGTGGAACAAGCCTTGTTCTCTCCTCACTAGTCTCCCTGGCTGCAAATCTCACACCACTCCAAGCTGTTCACACAGCAGCCAGGGTGTTTGTGTTTTGTTTTGTTTTTTGCTGGACATAAATCAAACATGTCACTCCCCTGGTTGAAACCTTTCATTGACTCCCCTTTGTACCCCTGAAAGGTTGCACATTTTCCTTCGGGTTTAGCTTCACCAAATGTCTCAGGGGAAGCTGTACAGGTACCAGCTTGCTGACACATGAACGGGGGAATAGCAGGCAGGGGAGTTTTTAGAGAGAGTGTCTCTCCTGCCCTCTGCCTTGTGGTGGGCTTTCATGGAAAAGGGCACAAATGCCTCTCCCCTGTAGCCCCATGACATGAAGGAATGTGATCACGTTGGTCCACCTCTTGGGCTGTGAAATGTAGATTCATTCAACAAGCAGCCCTTCTGTGGTGACCTTCCTAGTAGTAATTAACTCAGCCAAGAAACACCAATAAGTCCTTAAGCTAGTGGGAGAATTTTTGATGAGGGAAGGGATACTTAGATTCAAAGAGCCTCCCCACAACATACTTACTGATTCCAAAAAGGAAAAGAATAGCCTCACAGTGAAGAAACCTGCAGATACCACCTTAATCAAATGATCCAAATGAACATCATCAGGAATAGGACAAACTGGTAATCATCATGTACCACCTAGGAGGATGCAATGAGAGGAACACGAGCATTGCTTCAGTGATGCTTCTAACAAAGACCCATGACCTGAATCTAATCATGAGAAACATCAAATTGAGGAACTTTGTGCAAAGTCACTCTCCTGTAGTCTTCAAAAATATTAAGGTTATAGGAAATAAGGAAAAACTGAGGAACTGTCCCAAACTGGAAGAGACTAAAGAAGCAGGGCAACTAAAAATCAAATGTGATGTGTGATCCCTAGCTTGGATCCTTTTGCTATGAAGGGCGTTATTGGGACAATTGGTGAAACTTGAATAAGGTACGAGAATTAGACAATAGTATCATATGAAGGGGTCCCTAGGTGGCACAGTTTCCAGTTGATTACTAACCTAAAGGTTGGCAGTCCAAACCCACCTAGAGGCACCATGGAAGAAAGGCCAGGAGATCTGCTTCTGTAGAGATTACAGCCAAGAAAACCCTCTGGAGCACAGTTGTCCTCTGTAACACATGGGATCACCATGAGTTGGAATTGACTTGACAGCAGTGGGTTTAGTTTTGGTTTTTAACATATCAAGGTTAATCTCCTTATTTTGATGGTTGTATCTATGAATGTCTTTGTGGTTATAAATGTCCTTGTCTTAGGAAATTAAACACTAAACTATCCTGGGTGACTGGGGCATCATGTTGGCAACTTTTTCTTAAGTAGATTGGGAATAAATTTCTTTATACTATTTTTGCAACTTTTGTGTATTGAATTTCTTTTATTTTAAAATTGTTTTAAGATAAGAAGATTAAAAAAAAAAAAAGTGTCACACATTTCTGGTCTTCCTCTGCCCCTCTGATCTCCAAGCCCACAGGCTGCACGATGCCCCTAGAGCTGATTTACTAAGAGCTCATCAGCTAGTCCTGCCAGCAAGATCTCCAAAGTCCTTCCCTAATCTCGCCACTTCTCACCACCTCCAAAGCCACCACACTTTCTAACCCATCTCCATCTTTTGACTGGCCCACTGTTTTCAAATCTTGTTCTTATGCAGCCCATTCACCAAACTGCACAGTGATTTTCCAAAAACACAAATAAAATTGCATCACTCCTCTATTTAGAACCATGCAGAGCTCACAACCCATGTTTTATGCACACTTGGGTCCAGCCTTATTTTTATTTCTTCAGCTCCACTTATCCCCTCCTGCTTCTCTCATCCTGGCCAGCATGACTACCTAAGTGGTCCCAGTCTGAAGACTTCAGCAAGACGTGGCATTGCTCATGAATCAATCTCAGAGATCCTTGGGAAATTTCATTCCACCCCAGCCACCCTCTCAGCCCCACCTGGGGCCTTCCTGGCATCCCTCTGTGTCACACCTTTCTGCTGCTCACAGCAATATCCGGGTATCAAAGTTAAACCCTGTAGTTTGAGCTCTAAAGTTGTTCATGGCCAGAATGAACACTAACTACCGGGAATAAGAATGACAGCTCCAAGCAGGTGGGAACTCTGGCTCTTTTAATTTTCCATCAGAGCCTTCCATAAGCCAAGCCCTTGAAAAACAGTCAAGATGATGCAAACCCAACCTAAAACGGAGGCGATTAGGTCACACCTGAGCTTCCGACCTTGCTGGTTGTAAGTGTACCTTGCCAACACAACACATCTATTTCTCGTAGACTTCTAAATCCTTAAAGTTGGAAAGAGACTTAGTGGTTGGAAAATGTTAATTCCCCCTATTTCAAGGAGAGAAGGAGCCCTGGTGACACAGTGGTAAAACACTCAGTTGCTAACTGAAAAGATGGTGGTTTGAACCCACCAGCCTCTCCGTGGGAGAAAGACGTGAAAGTCTGCTTCCATAAAGATTACAGCCTTGGGAACCCTATGGGGCAGTTCTACTCTGTCCTATGGGGTCGCTATGAGTCAGAATCAACTCCATGGCAGTGGGTTGGGGTTTTTTTGTTTTATTTCAGGGAGCCCCTTAACATGCCAACAAGGGTTCATGCAACCTCTGTACCCTTCAACTGTTGGGGAGCTCACTCATTTATTAAGAATGGATTATTTAAAAATTCTTCCTTATACCTAGCTTGTCTCTGCCTTCTTCACCTTCTACTCATATGTCCAAAGTTTGACCTCTAGAAACAGAGCTCTAGCCCTGCAGATATTTAATGTCTATGACTATTATGTCTTCATGATTAGGCTAGACATCTCCACTGCCTTTTATCATTCTTAATATGGCATAGTTTCCATAGAATCTTCCACCTCAGCTCTCCACCATTGCACCCTTTCTTGCTACCCTCCTCTGGGCATATTTATGTTTGTCAATATCTATGGCATCCAGACTCAAATACAATATAACCTGCAGTTTGATTAGTGAAGTGATCAGTGGTTTTATTACTCTCCCTTGTCCTGGTTGTGATGCTCCTGTTTGTATAGCCTATGGGTGTATTTACTTTATTGGCATCGAGGTCACATTGACTCATATTCAGCTGGCAATTCACTAAAACCCCTAACCATTTTTTGAACCTACATGCAGGACTTTACAATCACCTCCATTAATTCCATCTTGTTAATGTTGGCCCATCTTTCTCTCAAAATCTGTTAAATCTTGATTCTGGGTCACCCAGCTTACAAGTTCTTCCCCTCAGCTTTATAGCACCTGAAAATTTGTGAAGTTAGCTGATGCAAACATTGAGTAGGATGGGTTCCCCATGCCTGAAATTCAACTCTCTGGAAACAGAATCCATCAGGAGGCCCAGGGCCAAGAGGGAAGACTCAAATCCTTACTCTGCCTCTTACCGTCTGTGTGGTCTTAGGCAAGTCACATAACCTCTGATCCTCTGATTACACATTTAAACCAGCTGCCATCGAGTCTGACTCATGGTGAGACCATCAGAGTAGAACTGCGCTCCACAGTGTTTTCAAAGGCTGATTTTTTTTTTAATTGTGCTTTAGGTGAAAGTTTACAGCTCAAGTTAATTTCTCATTCAAATATTTATACGTATTGTTTTGTGACATTAGTTGCAATCCCTACAACATTACAGCATGCTCCCCCTTCCCACCCCAGGTTTCCTGTGTCCATTTGTCCAATTTCTGCCTTCCTGCCTTCTCTCCTCCTGATTTTGGACAGGAGTTGCCCATTTGGTCTCATATATCTGAACCTTAGTTCAATCTTCTTCAATCATAAGTTCAATCTTCAACCTTCTTAAAGCATGTTCCTCACATGTGTTATTTTTTGTTTTATAGGTCTCTCTAATCCTCGTCTGAAAAGTAGGGCTCAAGAGTAGTTTCAGTTCTGGGTTAGCAGAGTGTCTTAGGGCCACAGTTTCAGGGATTTCTCCAGTTTCTCTCAGACCATTAAGTCTGGTCTTTTTCATGAACTTGAATTCTGTTCTACATTTTTCTCCTGCTTTGCCTGGGACTCTCTGTTGTGATCCCTATCAGAGCAGTCATTTGTGGTAGCTGGGCACCATCTAGTTGTTCTGGTTTCAAGCTGGTGGAGTCTCTGGTTCACGTGGTCCCTTAGTCCTTTAAGCTAATATTTTCCTTGTGTCTATGGTTTTCTTCATTATTCTTTGCTCGAGGTGGGATGGGACCAATAGATGTATCTTGGATGGCTGCTCGAAAACTTTTAAGATCCTAGATGCTACTCACCAAAATGAGATGTAGAACATTTTCTTTATGAACTATGTTATGCCAATTGACCTAGATGTCCCCCAAAACTATGGTCCCCAGGCCCCAGGCCCCAGGCCCAGCTACTCTGTCCCTCAAAGTGTTTGGATGTGTATAGGAAAATTTCTGTGCTTTTGCTTTGGTCCAGTTGTGCTGACTTCCCCTATTTGTGTGTTGTCCTTCCCTTCACCAAAGTTGACTCTTGTTTACTGTCTAGTTAGTGATCTCCCCCGCCCCACCCTTGTAACTATCAAACAATGCTTTTTTTCTGTGTGTAAACCTTTTCTTGAGTTCTTATAATAGTGGTCTCATACAATATTTGTCCTTCTGTGACTGACTTATTTCACTCAGCATAATGCCCTCTAGATTCATCCATGTTGTGAGATGTTTTGCGGATTCATCATTGTTCTTGATTGTTGCATAGTATTCCATTGTGTGTATGTACCATAATTTGTTTATCCATTCATCTGTTGATGGGCATTTAGGTTGTTTCCATCTTTTTGCTATTATGAATAGTGC